TATATACACACACACCGGCTACGGCCACAACGTGCCAGATCCCCAAGTCGAAGCAGCGGGGCAAAGCAGGGGCAACCTGCCGCGGCAAAGAAGGGGCCAAGCAGGCTGCGGCGGTTATCCCGACGGCCAAGAACCCAGAGCACAAGAACCTGGAGGGTTTAGGGTTTAGGGTTTAGGGGTCCAAGAACCCGGATTCCAAAACATGGCCCAGTATTGCCTTTATGTGAACCAGCATGGCTACTTAAGGTACAATCCTACAACCAGGGTACAGTCCTTAAGCCCTAAACCCAATTACCCTAAAACCTTTAAACCCCAAACCCTATGACGCTATAACTCTACGCCGTGAACCCTTGAAGCCCTAAGCCCTAAACCCTCAAACCCTATACCCTTAAAGCCCTAAAAACCGTAAGCCAGGTGTGGTAGCCATGGCAGCGACACAGTCTCGGGCATTTTGGAATGTGTGCTCGCCCCTGCTTCGCCATTCATAGCAGGATCTTGGGGTTTAGGGATTACTTGGAGGGTCAGGGGGACTTAGTATATAGTAACCCTAGTTATCCCCCTTATGAACCTACTTACTAAGTCCCCCTGACCCTAAACCCTAACCTACTTACTAAGTCCCCCTGACCCTCCAAGTAGGGGTAAGGGATGAGGCGGGGTTCCCAGAGCTGCAATCCTCTGCTATCCCAAAGTACCCAAGTGGGATAATGGAAAAGACAATGGAAACTACAGGGATTATAGGGGTATATAGGGATTATGTAAGGATTATAGGATACATATTGGGGTTATATATTTCGATAATGGAAAAGAACATGGAAACTAGCGTAATGAGGTTATATTGGGGATATATAGGGATAATGGAGAAGAAAATGGAAACTAGCATAATGGGGTTATATCGGGGACATATTGGGATAATGGCAAAGAAAATGGAAGTGCCAAACACTCCGATCTCCTTAGAAAGCAGTTGTAGTTTCTGTCGTGATTGTTGCCTTTTCAACAAAACGGGTTCTGGACGAGCTTTAGTCAGCGCTGTGGTTTGTACAGTCGGTAAGTTTGGAATAACACAATGGCGGCGATGAGCCAAAATTCCAAAATAATGACGTCACAGCGACACCCGCAAAGGCAACATGAAGGATGTTTCATGACAATCTTAGCTGTAGTAATGCGAACTGTGACGATGAGAGCCAGCATGGTGTCCGCAACAGCAGTACTGTCACTCTTTTCAATCATGCCTTTGCTTTGACATGCACATTGTGATAGAGATGATGATGATGGTGAGGATGATGATGGTGCAAATTTGCGCCCTCAGCCGTAAGTTACAGTAAGGTAATGGGGCATACGTATATTGGGGTTATATAGGGATACTGGAAAAGAAGATGGAATCTAC